CAAGTCAATAGACACTGATGCCATAGCTGGCCAAAGGCACGCGCACGAGCGGTACGCGCGCCAACAGCTCATGCCCCGCGCGCTTCGCGAGCCACGACGGCGATTTGAATCGAAAGGCAGAATCAAAGACATCGGCATCGAGCGCCGCGTTGAGGTCCGAGAAGAAGGTGGAGCGCGCGTGGACGAGACTCGCGCAGGCCTCGCGATAGAGCATCGGTCCGTCCTGCAGGACCATCGTGGCGACAGTTTTGAGCGCCTTCAGCTTGCTGAGATCGTGGTCGTCGCCACGGAAAGCGTCGCTTGTCGGAAGCCTCCCGTCCATCATGCGGACGGCATGCGGTGCAATCGCAGCGTCGAGCTGTGCGATGCAAGACGCAAGCGTACCAGCGCAGCAGCTGCGCACAGCGGCGCGCTCGGCGTCGTCGGGCAGCGAGCTGTCCAGGAGCCGAAGTTGAGGCGGCGTCGCGGCGAGAAGGCCCGCGACAGTATCGAAGCGGCCGGGGCCGCCGTGAGTCGGCATCGTGTCCGCGGCTGTGTACGGCGGCTGTGTACTGGGTTCGAACCCTGTTGAACGTGGCCGCTCCAGCGATTGACCATACCCCCCCACCCGTCGAGCAGGCCGCCTCCGGCGGCCAGGACCATACCCCCCCACCCTTTTGGCGCCGACCCTACCATACCTTACCCCGCAAAAAGTTGGAATCCTGCTCTCGAAGAATTGCAGGGTGGCTCGCGCCGCGACGCACCATTGCGTGCTCTTGCCTCGACGGGCGCCCGGCGCCTCTCAGGATGTCCGGCTCCTCCACGCCCGACCTCACGTCGGTCGCCGAAGTCGGGATCGACTTTGGTGGTTTCAAGAACATAGACCTCTTCTCGCAGGGCATCTATCAGCTGCGCGTCCGTGCTACCACTGAGTGCTCCAAGCGGCAGTGCCCGCCCTCCACCTTCGAGACGGTCCGGCAGGGGCGCGCTCCTCCGCCTCCCACCGACGGCTCCTTTCTGCCGGCCCACGTCCTGGAGGAGAGCGGCGACTTTTGCCTGCCCTCCTTTCGCGTGCGCTTCTGCGACGAGGAGGTGCGGCTGACGACGACGGCGCGCTTCCGCGCCGAGCTCTCTGTCGACAGCAACCCGCGCCTGCGCGGCGCCGACGACGGCTGCGCGGTGCCGCTCGAGCCGGTGCTGCTGGAGGTGCGGCTGATGCACGCGCGCTCAAACTCGGTCTTCGACGCGGCGGGTGACGCGGCCGCGCAGTCGCGTGCCAGCTTCAAGCAGTACGCCCAGCAGACGCTGCGGCT